ACTCTGACATTTCCATTAGCTTAAAGCTAACTTGCCAGGACCCAAATGTAGAATGAAAAACGTATCTCTCAAAACTTTACAACATTCAACATCAACTCACCATGTTTGGCAATACTCAAAACCGTAAGTAAGAAGTAGTTTTAAGGTTAATTTAGCTTGCTTGCTTCAGAAAATGGTGACAAAAGAAACACTTCCAGTTCACCGTTAAGTCCCTTTAAACCATGTGAAATAAACTGTAGCGACCCCTAGTGGATGAATTCAGCAGTTTGTCAAAACTCAGAATGTTTATGGAAGCTGCTCTGCTCAGGTGAGTCCACAGCTGATCTATTTAGCTAAATATAAAACACAATGTGGCAGAAAACTAACACTGCAGAACACACCACCGCCCCCTGGTGGCAGAACCCTAATAAGGGGATTTATTTTTTTCTTCAGCAGGAACAGGAAGCTGTTCAGAGTTGACAGGAAGATGAGTAGAGGTAAATAGAGAGGAATCTCTAAACATACAACCTTAAACATACATACAGCCAGAGGCAAAACAGAATTTATATCAAAGCTTTTCTGTGTCTCCCAAATGTACAATACCGAAATGGCAATAAAAATCTTTGTATGGAATTATGCATCTTCCTGCACTACTGAGACCTGAGGCAGATATGCAGAAATGTGAAAGTGTTGTATAACAAAACTAATCAGGAAACAACCAACACATTTTCCATGATGTAGAGGAATTGTTTTGATTTGCTTTGCCGCATCAAGGTCATGTTAGCCTTGACCTATTGATTTTAAATTGTGCATTGGACCATCATATTCCTTTTTAGGAGTTAAAGATCGACAGAGAGAGCTTTTTAGTCTGTTAAAAATCTCTCACAGGGAGCATAGCCAACTCAAACAGAAGAATGCTTCATATTTTAAAATTCATAGTAAACATTTTACTGGAGAAATAACTTTCTCTGTAGATGTGTTATGGGCATATTGTTTCACAGGAGGTCTGGTGTTTGTGTTTGGAAAATTGACCAAGGCAAGGACTTTATTTAACCCAACTTTCTAAAACAAATTAAGCTTCACAATGAAAAAAATTAGATGCATTTTAGCTTCAGCCCTTCTGTATACAAAACTCTAAGTCATCTGGGTGTTAGTAGTCTTTAGTCGCTATTATGTGGTGTATTTTCCCCTGACAAATTTACACAGAAATAAAAACACAACTGCATATGAATGCTCACTGAAAAATTTCACTAAATGCTTCACAAACATTTGCATTGTCTAACGACATCACAACAATATCCAGCTGATCAGACGGCAGCGGAAACCTACTTTTTGAGAAATCTTTCCAGCAGGCAGTCTATCTAAATCGTGTGTTTCATTTGAATCGGAAGATGTTTCACCTTACACATTTGGCTACGGCGATCCCCAAGCTCTGACAGATCCTGCTGTGGATGGTGGAGCTGAAGCAAATGCGGGTGATTATCATAATTGTCTTCTGAACTTTAATCCATACAAATCTGTTTATGTTTCCAGTTTGAATCTTTCCATCTGATTGGCTTCCTGGCATCAACATAGTTATGTGATTTGCCAACGAGGGACACTGCATCCAGTCTGAACTCTCATTTGAACAGCTTCTCTCTTCCTAGCTGCCAAGCGATGACATTTTTTTTTCCATCTGTTTTAGATTTGAGTGATGGTGGCCGTTTGGTCTGTATAGGAACTTTGACTGATGTCAGTCTTTTTATTTTTAACATAATATATGACATAAGTCCCATAAAAGTTGGCCGATATTAACATAGCAGTAATATTATTGCTTGCTGTCGATATGGACCCACAGTTTCATAAAGATGCAACAATTCTCAAAATGATCACTAGAGATGTTTTATAATAAACGGTCCATTTCAATATGCTCTGATCCACCTCATAAATCACTTTTATTTGCTTTACTGCTGCTAAATTTTTTAGGATTGTATGAAGTGTTTTCAAATCAAGCACTACACTACTATTGCAATATTTGTGATATAATTGTGCAGTCCTAAGCTATTCAGTTCTTAAATGCAACAAAATCAATAGCCAAATTATGTAGCAAGTTAGGGTTTTGTCATTACCTTGACATTACACTCTATTAAAGGGGTATTATGTATTTTCCAGGAACATGGTGCCATTTTGTAGCACATCTCATGGTGGCATAAACAACCGTTCTTAGGCGCATTGGACTGAGAAGTAGTTTGTGTGAACTTGCAGTTCCACCAGGTGTTTGCTATTTGCTGCTGCTAGTCTGAAGGAGCTGAGAGAGGACGTTGCAGGTGTGGGATGCTCCGTGGGACTGCAACTCTATGGCAGAGTTTTGGGGGTAAAACTTTGGGCTTTCATGAGTGAATAACATAATAACATGACATAAAGTTTACAAATACATAACACTGCTCCCTTTAAGATTATCTGTCTCCTTTAACCACGTCTTCCAGTCACAGGAGTAAAACCTTAACTGTAGTTATGACGAGAATAGTAACTGGGTCCCATTAGCAGCCACTGTGCAACTATCCAGCAGGCCCAGATGACAGGGGGAAAACATCTCCATGCAAATACTCCATTACATCCCAAAAGCTCTGAAGGGATCTTTCATGAACACTGCAGCAGCAATAGATGCCAAACCGAATCACCACAACAAAGACAAATCCATACCATTAGCTCAACATATAGCCCCTTTATTTCAGAAAGCGGCTAGTTAAAACGCTCTCCTAAAACTGCAAAGCTAAAGCTTGTGTGAACGGCTGCAGGGGTCGTTCTGGGGCATCCGCAAACACATACAGTTAAATGCCGAGAAGTAATGACTGCCACCCCTGAACAAAGCCTCCTGTACAAGGCCTGACAGCCCGAGACTGACAGCTTAATCATTTCCAGCTCTGTATAATACCATGAAAGGTTTGTCTTCCCAGACAAATCGAAAACACCGAGGCTGAAAGGCTGAAGCAATTTGCATGCAGCTCCAGATAAAATAATGTCTCCTTTTTTTTTCCTTTTTTTTTTTTTGCCTTAATGGCAGCTTGGCAATTATTATCAGAAGCCGATGAAAGATAAAAACTGGCTTCATAGAGCCAACAATATGCACAGAGATAATTGCACAGGGACAGTTCATCGAAAGTAATTTCACAACTTTCTTATGAACTGAGAACTTTAGAAATCCTTCTACAATATCGAGACCAAATGCATTCGACAAGCACCAAGCAGGAACGGGTAGAAACGCACCAATCTGTTGGCCGGCAGACCTGATTAGCCAATTTTCTCTAGACTGTGTCTGATTTGGGAACAATGGGTCAAACACTAGGCAGGTAAAACATTCTTATTTGCTTAAGCAGTCAAAACTGAGAAATCCTACCATTTCCAGTCAGAAAATGCTACAACCAATTTTGTATCTTGATCATTTTTTAAAAACAGATACTAATCAAAGAAAAAAAAAAGGTTTGGAATATATATCTTGTAGTACGTATTGTACAATTAATACATATTTTAGTTATTTTTCTGCACTTTCCCCCCTACTCTCTGTGCTTAATCATTAGAATCGAAAAATCTGAGTCAGTCAATCTTGGTGCTTATCTAGAAAAGGCATGTCAAATCATAACTAAAAAATAAAAACAGTCCTGAACCGCATTTCCTCCTGGCAAATGACATAAGGCATGACCTGACTAACAAAACTGGCACCGACTAGTGATTAGTGCTCTAATTGATTAGTCACAATCTCTTAACCAAAGAATCTAATTTTAGAGAGCGAATGAGCAACTACGTCTTCACAGAACCGTTAAAAAAAGAAAAAGGTTTAGAAAACTGGTTTTCATTCTTTGAAGACGCCTCTGTTTTTCTGCAAAGGCAGGGAAGCAGAGCAACGATGTCGCAGATTCACCGAGTGGACAGCAACTCCCCCACTATCACTAACACACAGAGACCCTGATCCCCAAGCAGCACAGTGTCCCTCCCATTTATCATATGCGACTTTTTGCTATTGCACTTTAGTCTTACCATGATCTGAGCATGCATCTCCATTGGCAACAAAACCGCTCAAGGTTAGGTTCAAGCAATAAGCCAGCATCTTGACAGGGACAGGCAGACATAAAGATGAATGTGTTTTTTTTCTTTTTTTGTGCAGGGTACTGAGGTTGTGACACAAACACATGAGAGTGCACAGCATACACACAAGCCACATAAGATATAAATGCACTGTAAAAAAATAAAAAATATGGAATTAATGGTAAAATCCTGCAAAATGCTGCTGCCAGAAATTTACTACAAACTACAAAGATCCTGTATGTCACAGTAAAATATACTTCATTTGATTTCAATGTGATAGTTAATACCTTATTTTTGTCTAATGCTAATTAAGCTTCAAATCTGACAGACTGAAATGAAATGATGTAAAGTAGAAAACCATCACATCATTTTCTGTTTCTTTAAATCCACAGAAATTTGATACAGAGGTGTAATCTTGATTATATGTAATTTTGCTTAGTTTCAGAATTTTTTTCCCACTGCTTTTACCTAACTGTAATATTTAATGTCTCTTTTAACATAAATGACAGTTTGGGGGGGGGAAAGAAAGTGTAGCTTGATCACTATCAGTTATCATGATCAATTTTGCCTTTTCAGTTTTTTTACAGTTGTTTTTACAGACATGTTTTAACAGTGCACAGGTTATGTTGGAAGATGGAGAATCACCATTGTTGAAGGCAGTCAGTTACTAATGTTGACGTGCTTGTTGCTTATTCCTATTTCATTTTAACGTATTTAATTCTCAGAAATATATTCAGTCTGCCTTTTCCAGAACAAATGAGGAACCGTGCCATAAAGCCAATATCCCAACTTTAAATCTACTAGTTAGATTAAATCAGGCTAAGTCAGTAATATTATCTTATCTTAGGAGTTTTCAGTTGAGTTTGTATTGTCGGTATAAAGAAACGAGCAACGGCGCATCGCTCCGAATATTAAACTCCAAAATAAATGGCAGTAAGTGCAGTATTTCATTGTCATTCAGAAGGAACAAGTGTGGGACAGCAGACGAGGCAAAATGTAGGAAGAAGCAAACTCACCATGGACGGATAGAGTCCGAACACGGTGAGGGAAAGGAGCGGGTACAGGACGCTCAGAAGGACCCTCATGCTGCCAGGCTCCGGGCGGCCACTTTCCTCCGGGGGTCCTCAGTCCTTTCCTTCTTTTACGCGGAGCTGCCGCCTCACGGCGTCTTTGTGTTTTTTTTATGACCGAGGAACCGCAGAGAGCGCGCGCTGACAGCGGTACGGAAGCCACGCGTTCAGCGGCATCACACCCACCGTTCCCCGGTGCTCTGACTGGAGGCAGCGCCGAGGAGGGGGAAAAAGAGGAAAAGTTTGAAGTGGGGGATAAATATTTAAATATTTCAGTCCTTATGTGGACTGCAGGGGAGGCGCACCAAGTGACATCACCAGATAGATAGATAGATAGATAGATAGATAGATAGATAGATAGATAGATAGATAGATAGATAGATAGATAGATAGATAAGCAAAAATTATATTTTGCTGCACAAGAAGCACACAGCTCCGTGTAATTTATTTGAATTTTATTTGAGAGTAACACAAATAATCACATAACTGTAAAATGGAAGGGAAACTATATAAAACCATAAAAATAGACAAACGTGGCATGGATTTGTATTCAGCTTCTTTTAATGTGACTGAATAAAATTCTGAGCAACCTTGTGTTTTCAGAAGACCCCTGATTAGTAAATATAAATAACAAGAGTGTTATTGAATCTGTGATGCTCTTGAGAACCTCATGAAGATAAAAGTATATACAGCAGAAAGGTTGAACCATTTTGTCATGAGAAAACAGAACAGTATGGGACAACTGCAAGCACAGTAAGACTTGGTCTTCTGCCTTAACCCACCTCTCAGGTGGAGAAAGCAACAGTAAAACAGTCAAGAGGACTTTGGAGGAACTGCAATTTAGTTCAGGTGGAACAATCTACTGGCAGGATAATAACTACTTACCTACCTGCCTACCTATCCACCAACCTACCTACTTTCCCTCCTACCTGCTTGCCTTACTAGCCAGCTCACTACCTATATCTATCTTTCCATCTACTTACTTGCCAGCTTGCCTACCTATCTCCATAACTACCTAATATAATATATATATTATATATTTCCAGAAATGTTCCACAGCTTTAAAAGACAGGCACTGTCTGTTTGGAATATTTAGAAAATCTGTTTTCAAATATCTAAATGAGCTAAATGAATCCTATTTGGGTCCAGCTGAGAAACCAGCAGAAATATGTTCCATCGACTGCTCTCTGGCATTATAAGAGGCAGAATCGTCCCAATCATTGTCTGTTTCGTAACTGATCTCTGGGTATAAATACATTCAAGTTTCCATAAGCATTTGTATATTTCAATGTCGACTAACATCACATAGAAGTTTGCGTTCTCTTAAAAAGTCAGGTAAAAGGGTGAATATTAAATTAAACAGCATTCTCTCTCCTGATTTTTATCAGCATAAAATATTTGCCTGCTCTTTCAATTTTTCAATATCGAGATAATTTACTATGTACTCGTCATCGAAATATATGAATTGTGTATAGACACATTATGCAAGAAATTGATTTTTTTTCTTTTGATGCAATTAATTTACACATTTCCGTTTGACTCTGGTTCAGTATTTTTTTGCTTTGATGTCGTGTTGTTTTTGTTGTCAAAGTCCGTTCTCTTGTTTGAGTCAATGTTCCTTTCCCCATTTTCTGCTCTCCAAATCCTTATTATTGAATCATCCCACCTGCATAGAGTCAACAGTTTAACTCCCTCAATGTAATCGACACACAGGCCAATCAAATATGCTTACACACCCATGCACACGCACACACACACACACACACACACACACACACACACACACACACACACACACACACACACACACACACACACACATCTAAAAAAAAAAAACACAAAACAACGCACACACA